ATAATTTATTTAATCAGGTTTGTTTCAGTTATTTTTTTGCAGATATAATATTGCCACACTTTTAAACTCAAAGAATGGCGCGACTTTCAGCTATTGTTTATTATGATGGTGAAATTCGAGAAGATGAAACCGGCATTTTTTTGTATCAAATGAGCGTGTTAAAATATCATTCAAGAGAAACATAACTCTTGAGGAGCTGATAACGAAGATTTCGAGGAAGATTCATGTTGGAAGTAGTAGAAGAATGTCGTCGTTGCAGTACAAATTTCCAACATCATTGTTGTCATTAACTTATACAGCATTCGAACTTTCGAAAAATGATGATGTTGAAATGATGGTTGAAGCTCAAAGTAATTATTCAGACGCCGCTATTGTGATGTATGCACATTTTGTTCAAGTGCGTGCTGTTCGGGGTCAATCATTAAGCTCCCACTATGGGCTGGATGAACAAGTTGATCAAGTTGACAGCCCGACTACAGTAATGTGTGATGATTTTAATGCCATAATGGGGAGACATTCATCTGCAACTCCTTACGATATGTACCGAGATGGGTCCATGAACAATCAGTATGGCAACATCGCGTCCAGTTCAAGGGGAAGGCATTCATCTGCAAATTTCTTTGACCATATGGATATGCCATCGACGCAACCATCTGTGCAGTTTCTATTTGACACGATGGCTTCAAGCTCCAGGAGGAGGCATTCGACTGCGAGCTTTTTCGATCTCAATGTCGATATGCCTTCCAGTTCAAGGGGAAGGCGTGCAAGTAGTATGTTCTTCGACCTAAATGTGGAGAGCATGGAGGAACCATCATCTCCACCAGAAGAACCGCTTCGTGAGCCTGGTGCGGATGGTGCTGAGACTGGACTATTCATTCACCCAGAATCACCGCAATTCAACTCCGATGATGTTGAAGTTCCAGGAAATGTGGCACAAACTGACCCTCCTGCACACATGCATGAAGCTGATTATGGTGCAATGTACGGGCCATAATTTGCGGATATACCTCATCTCGGTGACTATGGATATTACTCATTAATAAATAATTGTGAGTTATCTTTAGGCATGGAGTTTTCAAGCAAAGAAGAAGTGGTGATGGCTATAAAAAATTATAATATCCGTAATTCTGTTCAGTCCAGAGTAAACCGATTGACGACCGAAAAATATGTATGCTACTGTGCCCGACGCAAAAACGGATGCAAATGGATGGTTCGCGTATCGAAAATGAAGAGGAAAAACAACATATGGGAACTAACAATATACAACGGTCATCACACATGTTGTGCTGGAGGGGTTAACCAAGATCATCCCAACTTGGACTCTGAAGTGATATGCCAAGCCATCATGCCCATGGTAAAAGCAAGCTCTCATATAGCTGTTGCAGTGTTGATTTCAGCTATACAATCGCAGTATGGGTACACTGTCTCCTATAAAAAATCTTGGTTGGCAAAACAAAATGCCATTGTCAAACTTCATGGCAAATGAGATGCATCTTACAACAAACTTCCATGCTGGTTTAGGCTGGTGCGGAGGTTGAATCCTGGGATAATTGTGGACTTCGAAACCTCCTATGCATACCATAATGATCGAGTTCTCCGCGATTGATGCCAATTCTACCGGGTTTTTTGGACTTACCCACAGTGCGTTAACGCTGTCAAATACCGCAAGTCTGTGGTCCAGATCGACGGGACTTTCTTGTATGGAAAATACAAGCAAGTTTTATTATTGGCAGTTGTCCAAAATGGAAATCGCAACATTCTTCCAGTTGCTTTTGCTCTTGTCGAAGGAGAAGATACATATTCTTGGGCTTTTTTCCTCCGAAATTTACGTGCACATGTTATCACGAGGGAAAAAATCTGTGTCATTTTTTATCGCGGAGCTGGGATCAAAGCAGTAATGGAGTCTTTGGGTCCAATGCGGCAACCACCCTTTTTCCAACATAGGTATTGTCTCCGACACATTATTGCGAACTACCATGGAAGATACAAGAAGAATGATGAGCGTCAATTACTTGTGCGCATAGGTAAGTGAAACTGATGTAGTTTGTTTTCTTTCTATTCTTTTGATCAGGTTAGTAAGTTATACATTTTTGATCAGGTTACGAACTTCTTCCTCGAACGTTTGAATCAATGCTTCAAGATTTGCGGGCGAAGAACGAGGAAGGATACGATTACATTAGCCTCATCGATAAAGAAATGTGGACGAACGCATATGATGGTGGATATCGATATGGACACATGACGACCAACTTGGCTGAGACAATCAATTCAACCTTAAAGGGTGCACGTCACTTACCTGTAGCGGTTTTGGTAAAAACTACATATTTTCGTTTGGGGGCGCTTTTTACGAAGCTCGGAGGACAAGCTCAAACCTGGATGCAAGGCGGTCATGTCTATTACCCTAGATTAGTTGCAGATCTACAGACAAAAAATTGCTACATCAAATGTAATGTCTGTAACAAGCTTCTCTAGAAGGCATGAAATGGGCTCTCTACGGGGAAGGCGCCGATGTCAATTCTCCCACAACACGACCCACTCATGATGCCTCACCAGCCAATCTGTATCTGTCTTGTCGCGTTTATCTAAGCTATGCAACTCGTCCATATTGCGCGGTGAATCTGGAATTGGTTGAAAACAACCAAACTGCCGGAGCACGCGATCAGTGGAGTGTCACTCGATGGTCGCATAACATATCAGAGGGACCATCGCCATCCAAACATCTGATGGACCCTCAACTCAGGTGGGATAACCGCCCCTACATCATCAGTAGAATACCCATTCAAACTAAAACAAATAATATATACTTTTTATCAAAATAATAATCTAATTATATAACTATAATCTAAAATCAATTTTTAAACATTAAAATTCATACCTGTGTGTCAGCCTTCTGATCGATTAGCACCCTGATTTTTTCTAAATCATCAGGTAGCTCCTGATGATTTTTCCTATCAGTAAACCACCTATTCAAGGAAAAAATTTATTATACGATGTATAAAATTATTAATATACAAAATCAGTTTTATAATTACCTCAGAAGTAGTGGAAATACAAATGGGTTCTTCACAACGGAACATAAAAAGGGCAATCGATACCATGCCCAAGACTACAGTAGTAGGAGACATTCGCCGATAGCATTACGCCTGTAGTCAATGGCTCCACACATCTCCCTATACAGCAAAGCCAAAACTGCCGAGCCCCAACTGAATGATCCGGCGAGACGAAAGTCGCTAAGATGTCGCAACCACATGCAGTGAACTAGGTTGCGCGATTTGTTTGGCATCAGCAACCCTCCTATCAACTGCAATATGCATGCCCGTGCATACATCTTAACCTCATCCTCAGAGGCGTCTGCGCTCAACTCCCGAAAATTGGCATCTAACCAATTTAACGGTATCCTACCTCCGATAAAAATTTTCGGGACACGTCCTAGATTTTCCGGCACAAAGTAGTCCAAGAACCGGAAGCTATCCCTGATATCATATCTCCATCCACCGGAAGCCCCAGGTGCATAGAAACATCCTCAAGCGAAATCATGCACTCTCCGCACGGAAGATGGAATGTGTGGGTCTCCGGCCTCCACCGCTCTACTAAGGTAGAAATAAGGTATGGTTCTATCTTACAGTGACCCTGATATCTACCTATGTAACCAAATCCAGCCTCTACTAAATACGGCAAGATACGGCTAGGTATCACTAACTTAAGATTCCTAATAAAAGGATATAATATACGGTCCTTCTCCTAAAAATAAATAATTACAAAAATTAATTCTTAATCTAATAATCATGCATTAAATAAATCAACAAATTATTACTAATAATTTAAATTAAATTAAAACGTTAAAATGTTACCGTATCAGTAAAGTGTCGAGATATATGATTTCCATCTAAGCGAAGTAGACCGCCTTCCATTATATATCTGTAAAAAATTTATATTAGTAAAATATTAAATAAAGTAAAATACTTAAATAAATTAAATACATAATATTAAAAATATTATAAAATATACCTTAAACGAGAGAGTATTTGAGAGAATTTGAGAGAATTTGGTGTGATGAAAGTGATTGAGGATGAGGTATTTATAGGGAAGGGAGGGGTGTGAACGACCGGGTAATTAAAGCTATAGCGCCCCCCCTGCACCGCGCTATACCCCACGTGTCAGATAAATAGGTATAGCGCGGAGCAGGGGGCGTGCTATAGCCACGTGTAACCCAGTTAGCGTATACCGCGGTGCAGGGGGCGCGCTTTACTGCTGCGGGTGTTAGATCGGGAAATATAATCTGACCAGTGTTAGATCGGTAAATATACCGATCACCGATGATATTTCGGGAAAAACGTCTTATTACATCAAAATAATTATCACATCAGTTTTTTCATTAAATATTAATGACAAGTGACTTAATTGAATGCATGTAAATAATTGAGTGACATGATTGATAAAATTTCAAAAATATGGTCAAAATAAAAAAGGATAATAATTAGGTGGTCACTGATTTAGTTTACCTTTTATTTACATAATTTATATTTAAATTTTCAACTAATTTATAATTAACGTTTAACCTATAGAATTTTCCAATTTTGAATGATTCAATGATATCTTGGTTCAGTTGTGTTGTGCAGTTAATGTCTGAAAATTAACGGTCCATCTATTTTATTATTTTTTAATCTCAAAGAAAATAATTAATTAATTAGTTACATGTCGAAGTATTATATATATGATGAGAGAAAAGTAATCTTCCTACAAAAAGTGCAACTGTGCAAGTATTCTCCTACGACTAGAAATCGTAATTAAAAGACACCGAACTGGATTAGAATTCCATGTCTATCAAGTTCTGGAAATCTCAATCCTCTTTGGACTTGATATGTTTTATATATATATACATACTATAACCTCTCTTTGTCTTTGTAAATCGTGTTATCTCAAAACCTTTGTTTTCTCTGGTTTTAGCTTTCCTTTTGGGTTTCTTAATTTCCTGTCTGCTTCAGTGTTGATTCATGGCCATGGGTGACGCAAAGTCAGGTGTCTGTTCAACGCCACAAGAAGTGGGTGCTGCGTTTGTGGACCGATACTATTTGGTGCTCTGCAATTCCCCGGAAGAGATTTACAAGTTTTATCAAGATTCTAGCATGGTTAGCCGCCCGGGACCTGATGAGACCATGACCACCTTCACAACCATTCAAGATATTAAAGAACATCTTTCCTCTTTTGATGGTAGGCAATTACATATCGTTTCCTGTGATTCTCAACCGGCGGCAAATCAGGGTGTCTTTGTCGTGGTTACCGGTTCTTTCACTACAAACAATGAACAGATCATCAAGTTTTATCAATCCTTCATCCTAACACCCATGGAAGCAATTCATGACTACTTTATCTCCAATGATATTTTGAAATTTCTCGATGAGAAAGAATGGATAACTCCTCGTGTTTCGACTTCGAGTTCAACCACCGATCTTTCTCTTGAGGAGGAATTTTCGATAATCCATGTTTCAAAGGCTGCTTCGAGTTCGTCAAGTCATGATATCCCTGTTGTTTCAAGTTCAATACAAGATGATACGCCAGCTGTTCATGTTGAAGATGTTTCAAGTGTTGTTTTGAGTCCACATCAAGATGTGCCAACTCTTCCATTCGAAGATGTTTCGATTGTTGTTCAAAGTGATGCGTCAACTGATCTTCCCGTCGATGTTTCAACCACTGTTGTTAGTCTAGCACCACGTGATGAGACGACTCTCCCTATCGAAGACGTGTCAACTTTTCACAGTAAAGATGTTCCCATAGTCGTTCCAACTTCAAAACATGAAGTGGAAACTACTCCAATCGAAGGTATTTCATCCATTGTTTCGAACTCAACCCACCATGTTGGACCGTCCTTTTGCATGGAGGATTTTCCGGCTATTATTTCGAATTCCACATATCGTGTGCCAATCAATCATATTCCTAAGAAGAGTTTCTCGTCGGGGGTGCAAGTTTTAAATGAAAACGATGCTCAGTTCAAGCCGCCACCAGTAAGAAAAGAGCCGAAGAAAAGTGGAGTTGAAGGAGAGAATAAGAATAGGAACACGGCGGATGTTAAAGCTGATGCAACATCTATATTCGTTGGGAACTTAGCTGCTGGTTCAAAATCTGAACAACTTCACCAAGCTTTCAAGAAATTTGGTCGAATTAAACCCAATGGCGTTAAAATTAAACTTGATAGGTTATACAGATCATATGCGTTCATTCAATTTGAATCTTCAAGTTCAGCAAAAGTTGCAGTTCAAGCTTCATTTATCAAAATTGGCGACCGGAAGTTAAATATCAAAGAGAAGCGTAGTTATTAAAATCTCTAGTATTTTCATAGCTTTAGGAATGACAAGGAGAATTGTTAGGGAAATAAATGCTCAATAGTTCTTTGTTATATGAATCATATATCTATATTTTTTTTTCATGTTGATTTAGGTTATTTATTTATGAATATGAAGTAGTTATATATAATTATTTAATTATAGCACGATGCTTTTCCTACCTTATAATGTCAAATAATAATACCCCATTGAGATGTTTTATAAGATATATTATTATATTATAAGGATAATAATACTTTCGTGATTCTTAAAAGGAAAAAAGAAATATTTAGTTGTGTTAATTTGGGTTTCAATTACTTGAACTTATAAAGTTTTAAGTGAATAAATTATCCATTTATTATATTTTCTTTTAGTTATTTTGTTTTGTTTTTTCCCAAGATAAATTCTACAATATAATGGAATATATTAATTTATTTTATAAAAATTGAATATATATATATATATATATTATATAATCGATGAGACATAATATAATTCATCATTGACAATAAAAATTATAAATAAAATATTATTTATAAAATATAAATATATCATCTTTATATTATTTGTTTTATAAATATATTATAAATAGGTAATAGTTTTTTTAAATAGACAAATATTATTTGATTCATTGACACTACAAATATCTGTACATAAAATATGAAATAAGAACACAAACATATTTAAATGAAAAATACTTATAAAAATGTGGAATATAATTAAAAATAATTCTATTTAAAAACAGGGTTAAATTGTATCTGAAAAATAATTTTAATTAAAATATGACACTGATTAACTAATTTTCTCCTCAAAACGACAATTTCATCTTCTGCATTCCATCAAATGGCATTTCAATTGCTTAACATCCGACTGTTTCAGCGGCTCCAGCATGAACATCTAAGCACCTGTTGTATACACTATCTTAACATTAAGATCTAACAATAAAAATTAAAACATTATTTATTTCTGCACTTACCATTGAATTAAATGCTGAAACGCAAAGTAAAAATTTGTAGAGAAAACGTCTCCGGGAGACTCACCGGCTGATTCGAGTCGGAATGTTTTCTGATGACATGATTACAACAGGAACCTCCATCGGTACTGGCGATTCCTGTTTTTCAAAAAATATTCGCAATGATCACAACTATTCCTCGGAATGGGATCTTAATGTTTTGGATAAATTGCACGGATGGTTCTTTTTGTTTTTTGTCTGTTCTGTTTTAGTCACTTATGTACACTTTGTTGGTAGTTTTGTTGTTACGTAATTTGTTTATTACTTTCATATTTCAGGTCATTTTCTAAAAAGAATTTTAAACTTTTTGTTTAAGGAAAGATGAAAAAAAATTAATTTTTAAATGTTTAGGGTTTTAATTTTTTAAACGTGTTATGTCAATAATCTAATGTCAGAGTGATCAATATGTTATAACCCAAAAATGTAATGCAAGTGACCATAACCAAACTTTTTCTTAACCAGTGACCAACACAGAACAAATCAAAAAAAAGAGGGACCATCCTTGTAGTTTACCGTAAATTTTACGTTAAAGAATTCATTCTTGGCACCTTGATTTTCTTAAGCAGCTCAAAGCCTGTTATTCCATGCATGCAGTCAGGGCCGGTCCAATGAGTTTTAATGCCCTGGGCGAGATAATAATTTTATGCCCTTATCCGAATAAAAATTTTTGTTCGCTACAAGGGTAGACTCAAAATAAACACTCAGCCATTACAAACCAAAATGAAAATCCATTCAGATAAGTCCACTGTAAGATGCAAACCTTATTGCAATTGCCATCAACCAAGTGTGGAGAAGATATTCCATGAGAGAGGTCATAAGTAGACAAAACATATTTCAGCGTGCTGCTTATGTTTTAGCTCATAAAAAAATTAGCTAAAAGCTACAAAAGACCCAGAAGAAAGCTTGACAAGTAATCCTATCAAACCCTGCCAAGCGCAACCAACATGGAACAATCAAATTGTCATTTAACAGGCAGTGATATATGAATATAGGCAAGAATGCATATAAAAAGATCAAAACATTTTAGCTTCTGATATAAAGAATGAAGCTTTATGAGGTTAATAAAACATTGGTGATATCTGGGAACTTCTCTTTAATGGCGACTTTGATTCTCGATCCAATCGATTCGGGACCTGTGTAGTTCACAACGCATTCCCCGCCATCAATGGAAAATACTTCAACGCTCCCACCGTAATTCTTGATAGCCGGTCTCAGTATATCAAGATGACGATTCACTGCCTGTTTACTCGCGAATTCCAAACAAATTTCAATTTAGATGAATAATCTTTGTTTTGTTATTTTCGACGAATCTCAAGTTTGGTATAGAAAATTCACCTCGACGGTTGTTTCCTTCACTAAATCGTCGTACACTTGTCGGATTTCCTTGACTGCATCCCAAATTTTTCTTTCAAAACCCTTTTTATCCCCATTTTCATGGTGGTTGTTAAGCTAGGGCAGCTCTCACATGCTCCTGAAACTCGATCAACTCTACATTAGCCAAAAGCACATGGATAATTAAATCATGAAACGAAGATAAAAAAGAGTGACCTAGGAGTTTGAGAGAGACGACCGTCTTCGACGAACAAAACGTTGTCGTTTCCACCATCGAAGATCAAGTAAGGCCTCACATCCTCCAGAACCAGGTCCACGTTTTGAGCGGTGAGCACAAACTGCTTCGTCGAGTACAGCCCGAGAGACGAGCCGGTGGCCGCGCCTAGGCCGGGGCTCAACGCTTTTACGGCCGTTTTCAGTCGTATTCTTCTCGGAGGGACTCGTCTGCGTTGATTTAGGGATGAGTATAGAGGCACAACAATACCTGAAATTACCTTTGTGGCTACAGGGAACTTAGTAAAACTGATGCCCCTATATGTTGCCCTGGGCTGTCGCCCCTACATGCTGCCCTGGGCCGTCGCCCATCTGGCACATGTATTGGGCCAGCCCTGCATGCAGTATTCTGTTATTATTAGATTTACCTGCAGTTGGACATTCAATGTCAAGAATATAGGAATTCTGGACAGGAGAAGGATTGTAGGATTAAGGAAATATAGTATGTTACTCACAGTGCTCTCCGTGGTATTCCTCTCATCACTTCCCAAACCCAAATACTCCAATGCCCTCAGCCCAAATACTAACTTGCTATCTTACAAGGGGTGAAGCTGCCCTACAAGCTGAGCTTCTGATTAAATGCACATGACACGGGGTTGAACATTTTAGTTAGAATTGATCCACGTAGGAACTTGGAAGTCCCCCACAGGTGGGTCTTTTTTTGTGGCTGCTGTGTCAGGAAAAGGATTGTTGAGTTCATGGTCCCGTTACCCATTGAAGATGATACGAGGACTGTTTTGAAAGTGGGACTAAGAGAGAGAGTCCCTTGAGAAGGGCACTCTTATTGGCACCAAACACAGAAACAATCCACATGACCTTTTGTGGATCTTATTTCAAGCTTTGGTTTGTGTTTGTCCCCATGGTACTGGGCGCAGAGTTTTATGGTCACAAATCTTAATCCTATTCGTATAAAGAAATTTTAGGAAAAATGAAAGAAAAATCCGAACCAAGCAAATGGATCAAATTACTGTAAACCCTGTGATTCAAGTTTCTTTTCTTTTTTTTTTTTGTATAAATTAAGTGAATAAATCTTAATCGCTCCAATGAAAAATTTTCATTAGTTTATTACTGTTCCAGTGCTCCTCTTCCATTTGTCAAATTAAAAATAAACTACTAACAAAGAACACAAAATAATTGATTAATGCCCCCATGCAAGATCTAAATACAGACCTTCAGTTTATAAGACTGACGCTCTACCACTGAGCTATAGAGGCTCTTTCGACCATATCTTAAAATTAAATTTATATTAACGTTTTTAACAATTTAAGAACCCCTTCGCCACTCGGGTGCGGGGGTTTATTTATTTTGTTTTTACGTTATATATTTGCTTTTCACCAAACTCGACTTTTCCATATACTTTTTTATGTTGCGAGTATACTTATAATTAGAATAAATATATATCTAAATAAGTTGTAAGTAATAAAATCTCGAGACAATTCAGTGATTATAAATATAATATACCATTAGTTTAAGTCATAAAATAAAAATATTAATATTTGTGTCACCGTAAGATAATGTTATATAATTATTGAAAAAAAAATATTATTACATCAATAGTTATGTTTATTTTAAAAACGGTACGTGAAAAAAAGTATAATTTAAAAAAAAATTATTGGGTGATAAAAACGAAATCATGGGAATAAATAGATGATTAAATACTTTATTTATCCTTTTATATTTTGTTCTTGTGCTTGCTTTAATTTTGTCAAATAGACAAATTAAAGATATGCTAAATATAAACAGTATTAGAAAGTTACGTTTCTCATTTTTTAAGAAAAAACAAACAAAAAGAGCAAATGAAAGAATTAATCAACATCATGTGGTCAATATCTGATGTTATATATATGGATGCTTTTATTGATCTTATTGTTTGTGTATGACATTAGAGCATGAAAAGCAATGAAATTGAAAAGAAAATGAAGCACGCATGAAGAAGATAAGGGCTCAGGGACCACCATCCCCGGAGAGCTTGCATGTGCTTCCTAACATGTTAGGGACCTCCTTTATGTCTAATCTAATCTAAACCCCAAACTATTAACCTATTTAATCCATTCAACCCTCAACTAATCATCGTCGAAAAGTACAAACCTTTGTGTTTGAAAAAATAATCACCCCCACGTACGCTGATGATAAAAAATCATTCATTCTATATTCCTTGGAATCTGATTTTCATAGTATATATATATATATATATATATATATATATATATATTTTATTACAAAAAGTTGAGGTCACAGGTGGCTCTCAATCTAGGATCAGGGCATATATAAGACTTAATTTAGATTTATAGATTGTACACCAAGAGTGACAGTGGTAATTTAACCTTACAAGCTAAAATTCATGAATCCTAACCACTTATGTCCACACTAGTTGGCTAAAAAAAATCTAAGGATTCTAGTATTTTTGAAGTCCAGCTCACCTCCTTTCCAAAGTCTCATGTCTACTCACAAGCTCCATTCCCTTGAAGACATCAAACACGTATGATACAGTAAACTGATGTTTAAATAATTAATATTTTGCAAATATAATGTAGTATTAAAATTTAATTTAAATTAATAAAAGTTGTTTCCAATTAAGTTTTAGCTTAAGCAAGCAAAAGTTGACCCAACAAGCTGCCCATTGCAGTAGAAAAACATGATGTTTTTTAATATAGGATGGTCTTTAATGTTGAAAGATAATGGTGGTGTCCTTAATTCACCACGACCAGCAATTTTACAATGTGTTTGACAGCATGATGGTCTGGCCTCGTGAATAACAAATTCATGTTGGTCTAAACAGAGTATCATAGGTAAAGAAAGGAGGAATCAGGTTTACAATCAATGGTCATTCTTACTTCAACTTGGTCCTCATTACAAATGTTGGTGGTGCTGGAGATGTCCATTCAGTATCAATCAAGGGTTCCAAAACAGGATGGCAATCAATGTCGAGGAATTGGGGCCAAAACTGGCAGAGCAACTCTTACCTCAACGGTCAAAGTCTGTCGTTCCAAGTCACCACAAGCGATGACAGGACTCTGACCAACTACAACGTGGCACCTGGAAATTGGCAGTTTGGTCAAACATTTGAGGGTGGTCAGTTTTAGAGTTTCAGGACAACAAAGGATCTTGGAAATAGACGCTTGAATATGTAATAGCCATTGTTTGAGTCAGGGGAAGGTATAAGAGGGAGAGTTAAGAGCAAGGAGAGATTCAGCCAGCCACATATGGCTGTCAACTGCTGAGGTGATTAATTGGGCACCCGCTAGGCCTTTATCACTTTAATTGATTCATGATCAAGGATATTTCCATTTGTTTGGCTTTTGTTTTAATTCATCAGAGCCATGCTATGAAATGAATGAAAATATCAAACTAACAAATATAGACGAACACCATTTACCAGACATTGCTACTCAACTGACGGTGAAACATGTAGTTAACATAACAGAGAACAAAAGATGTGAAATATCGTCGACATTGTATCAATCAGTGACACACCAAGAGTCAAGCATGTTCAGTCTCTATGTAAACTGCGAGACCTGGATGTTTTTATCTTTGCATAAACAACGGGATTCTTCTCATCACACTTTCATCCACTATCCTATAGTGCTGGGAAAATTTTCGATGCATCATTCCACAGTATTTATCCACATGTTGTTCATATTTTCCATAGAAGGCTGGAAGAGTAACAGATAAGACAGTTCCTGCCATCGGAACATGAAAAACACAACATTTAAACTAGAGCATAATTTAAGATTCCTTACACATATAATGAGCGAAAATACATTGACAGATGCTTCTCATTTTGCAATTGATTTGTGACTGGAGCTTGATATCAGGTTTAGAAATTTTAGATACACGAATTAATAATCTATCTTACTCGGCCTCAGGTGTAAATGTCGAACAAAGGTATGCCCAGTGAACCCCGCCCCCCACCCCAACCAAATCAATATATATTTCTGTGTGTCCATAAGGTGATGAACTTGCTTACCAACATAGGCAAGTGTGAAGAAAGAGCAATAGCTACCAATGGCAGACAAGAGCCACAGACAAATCACAACCTGCCAAATGAGCGATAAAAAGGAGTGAGCTTGAACGTTGATTTTGTTTCCCTTTGTTGAAGTACAAAGTTACATGAACCGACCTTGAAGAAAAGATGAAAATCTTGGCCAATAGTAATATCATGAGCCAAAAGAAGCACATTATTGATTTTAACACGAAATGATGCTGCGACAGTGCTAATCATTTCCTCCGACAATTCGAGTTCCGGAAATGTTTCTATTTGTCCGCTTAAATAATAAACAGACACCATTGTTGAAAACAGATTCAGTGTTCAAAAGGAAAATAAACAAATAAAAGAGGCATTAGTCATATACCTATTTCTGTAAGCAGCATAGTTGGCATGGATGAACAACACCACAATTAGTATAAGCAAAATATCCAAACAAATAAGCAACAAGGATAATCCAGACTTCTCAATTATGAGCCAAGCAACCGTAGCGATGACAATGATGCCGAAAGAAACACTCCGCCGCTTCCACAAAAGTATATCAGCCGCTAGGAACATGAGAACCTACATTAGTTAACTTATCACACAAAACAAACGCACCAGTATCTTAAGGGTAAACTTAGAGCAACAATATCATACCACGCAACAAGATTTCCCTGGAACCATACTCGTTATTGATTATTAATAAGAGAATGTTAGGAGATAATTCTTAAAACCCATACATTTTCACCTATAAAAACAGATAAATAGTGAATGAAAATACATGCGGAGTGAGCAGAGGTAAAATGGAAACTTGGCTTCCAAGGATAGCAGTGTCCCGTCAGGGAGAACTTGATTCAGTTTCTTCTATATGTCCATCCACAAATTGGAATAAAACACTAAATGAAACACAACTAAGTTGAGAAAAAAAGGTTGGTTTGATTGAAAGAGAATACTGGATGTGAAAGAAAGCATTTTGTTACCTTTGCCACCGCCCAAAAATTGGCGAAGAGAACCTTGACGACCAAACAAACGGTACCCATCGGAGGATGCTACTGAAGAAATGGAAGATATTGTGTGATTTCTCGTCTCTTCCCCATCATCGTTACCCGAATTCTCCATCAATTGCAATGATGCAATGCAAATCGACTCCCTTTTTTCAGCTTTTAACTTGTACCCAAAAATGAAAAACTAAGAATTTCGACTCTTGCACCAAGCTTTCCCTCTATTAACCAAATTACCGGGTCGCAGTTGTCTCACCAGAATTGACCGGCGTAGGTAAAGAAGAAAAAACCCTACTTTTCAAATTGTTTTGTTTGGGAAGAAAAGAAAGTTCGTTTCTCTCTTTTCATCTCTATCCCATTTGATTTAGTCAACACTGTATATTTGTTTCAAAGGGCAGTAAAATTCCGAAACATCTTGAAATTAGTTTCTCTCATCGGCGGTTTGCTTTATTAACGGTTCGGAAATTCACCAATTGAATTTGTTGGTTTATTTTATATTTGATTCTTCCCTGTCCCTGTCCCTGTCCCTGTCCCTGTCTCAACAATCATTTTTACATTGTTTGAGGCCACCAATGTTATATCCGTCTGATTATTGTTGTCTTTCCTCTAATGCTCATTTGCAACTTTTAAGGTTACCTTTCTTAAATCGTTGGAAAGAAAGTTGAATTATATTTATGGATTTAATATTTATATTAAATTTATATTTTTTAATATTATAAATTAAAATATATTAAATTTATATTCTTTAATTTGAATATTAGTAAGATAATTATTTTTTAAATATGTCAAATTAAAAATATATATATTATCTATTTAACTTTGAATATTAAAAGATAATTATATATTTTTTAAATATTTTAAATTAAAATAATATTTATCTCAATTTGAATAGTAAAAAAGGTTTATATCTTTTGAATATTTTAAATTAAAATAATATATATTTAACTTTAAATAGTAAAAGAAGTTTATATCTTTGAATATTTTAAATTAAAATATATTGTTATCTGTTTAAATTTGGATATTAAAATATATATGGTTGAAGCTAAATTCTCTTGAAAATCCTCTATAAATATTGAGCTAACCTGATAGATTTTTTTCATATATCAGAATTCAAGAACTTTTATTTTCTTGAAAGAAATATTTTTTCTCCTTCTTAGTTTTTCGTTTATAGACGAAGGCAATAATAGTTTTTGATTTCTGCTATTGTGCTACTGTAGCTAATCATCTAATTGTTGTGTCTTAGGAGACAGGCGACCAAATAATCTCGAGCACCAAGGAGTGACTGAAAATTTCGTATCGGATTGTTATATTGAATAATAATGTTTAAGATAAATTTATTACTCTTCTACCTTTCTTAATCCGAGATGATTTGAAAATTGAGGGGACTGAAAACAATTTCCAAAAAATATTTTCCTTAAAATGAATTATATTTTCTGTAAAACGTTTTACGGTGTTTGGAAGAGATTGTGTAAACTATTTTCCACTACTTGATGAATTTTTAGAAATTATATATTACAAATATTAACAAAAATATTAAGATTAGTATATTATATTGAAATAAAAATATTATAAATTTTATGAAATTAATAAATAATATATTTTTTATTAATAATTTATTATATATTATTAAAATATAATATCTTATATTAATATAATATAATCGATTATATTACTTTTATAATATTAAAAAATAATATTATATTATTAAAAATATTAATAAATATTTTTTAAATATTTTAATAATTAATATTTTGATTAAATGATATTAAAATATTATATTAATATTAAATTCATATAATAAAATTATTTGAGTATTTATTCTTTGAAGTGAAAAGTTCCGAAAATAACTGATAGAAAATCACATCGTAACTCATTTTTCAGAAAACACAAAGGAAATTCTATTGATCAGAAAAATGTTTTATGTTGACCAACTAGTTTTCCTCCAACCAAACACTGAAAAAATGAGGAAAACGTTTTCTGGAAAATGTTTTACGTAAAACAAGCATACCCTAAATTTGTTTCAGGATTTATCTTATTGTCTTAACGGGTTTGCTAAAATCTCAAAGTGTACAAATCTATTTAACAGAAATAGTCATGAAAGTAACTTTGGTTACTAATTTTGTTTCAGATTATTGATTATGTCCAATAACACAATCTAAAATAAACAATAATTAATTTTTGTATATTTGAATTATTTCTAATTCTGATTCTGTTTCTTTTACAGAAAATGGAGGCAGAAAACTCTACCAATTTATCCAATTTGGATGCTAAAATGGTGGTACCAGTTCAGAATCCAAATCTAAATGCGAGTCAATTGACGGTGGCAGTTAACCACAATGAAAAGTTGGCAAAATTCTGCGGAGAGAATTTCAAGATGAGGTAACAAAATAAATTTTTCTATTTGACCACAATGAAACTTTCAAAGTTCTTAAAGGAAGATTCTCTCATTCTTAAAGAAAGAAGAGAAGAAGTAGACAATGTTACTACTTTCAATGTTGATGAAGCTTGGAAGTACACAGATTATATATGTAAGAATGTAGTTTTGAATAACCTACAAGATTTCCTGTATCTAGTACATGTTGGTCATGAAACAACTAAGAAATTATGGGAGGCATTGGACCACAAATACTAAGCTAAAGATGTCAGAGCTAAAAAGTTTTAGTTGCCAAGTTTTTGAATTTTACTATGGTTGAATCTAAACCAATAATAAAACAAGTGAAGGATATCCGACTAATTATTAATGGAATTCTTGCTGAAAGAATGATCATAGGCAAATTCTTTCAGGTAGTCTCCATTATTGAGAAATTATCTCGTAAATGGAGTAACTTCAAGAATTATCTGAATCACAAAAGGAAGGAAATGACCTTAGAAGAACTGGTTCTTAGACTTTGAGTAGAAGAGAACGATAGAGTTAATGCCAAAAATCTCAATAAAGAAACCTTCAAAGAGGCTAAGACAAACATGGTAGAAGTTAGGGACTTCAGAAGGAAAAATAACCTAAAAAAGGTCGAAGCTAGGACCTAAAGGTAGAATTTCCAATAAGGAGAAATTCCAAGGGAAATGATTTAACTGTGGAAAGATGGGGCACAAATCCTCTGAGTGCAACATCAAAGGAAAGTCAAAGTTCACGAGGCTAATGTTGTGGAAAGAGTGACTAAGGATGTGGATGATATAAATCTATGTGATGTGATCTCTAAAGTCAACCTGGTTATCTCCAATCCAAGAGAATAATGGCTTGATACTGGAGCTATGTGTCATGTTTGTTGCGACAATGACTCTTTTTTCTAAATTAACACCTTGCAACAATGGGAAGAAGTTTTACATGGTAAATGTTGTGACTTTTGAAATCAAGGGAAACAATATTGTAGTCTTGAAGATTACTTTTGACAAAGAACTCAAGTTGTAAAATGTGTTGTATGTAGCTGACATATTGGAAAACATTTTTTCTGGAACACTCACAAATGTTCACAACTTTAAAATGGTGTTTGAATCCCAAAAGTTGATTTTGTCTAAAGGGAAAATGTTTGTGAGTAGAGGATATGTATTAAATGATATGTGGAAACTTAATGCTATCTTTCTAAATGCCAAAAGTATGAATAAGAATAAAGTTTCTTCTTCTGTTTATATGCTTGAGTCATTTAATTTATGACATGGTAGTCTTGGAAATGTTAATTATAATGCTCTGCGGAGATTAATTAACTTAGAACACATTCCTTTGTTTCATATTAATTATAATCATAAATGTGAAACATTTGTTGAGGCAAAGTTAACAAGGTCGTCTTTTCAAATTGTTGAAAGAAATATCAAACTGCTTAATTTAATTCACTTTGTGACTTAAATTTTTTTCAATTGAGAGGAAGAATAAATATTTTATTCATCAACGATAACATAAAGTAATTCTATGTATTTGTTTAAGAGAAAATATGAAATTATGGATAATTTTATACTATATAAGTAGGAAGTCAAAAATCAACTTAATAAAAAGATTAAGATGGTAATAAGTGATCATGGTGGTGACTATGTTGAATCATTCGGTGAATTTTGTTCACAACATGGTATTATTCACGAAGTAACACCACCGTATTCTCTTCAATCAAATGGAGTAGTAAAGTAGAAAAATTGAACTCTAAAAGAAATGATTAATGCCTTTGTAATACCCCAAAATTTGTCTAGTGACTAAAATGTAAGTTTTGAAAGTTTAGTGGCTAAAGTATAAACTATATAAAAGTTCAAGTAACAAAAATGTGATTTTAAAATTTATATATTTTAGCATGTAAATGAAAAGTTTGGCCTAAAACAAGAATTTTCACGGTAATTGGATTTTCGGTATGAGATTTGTGTTAAAAGTTATAAAGCGATAAAGTTCGCATCGAAATCGGATAACTAAAATGGAATTTTTGAAAATTGGATGGCCAAAGTCAATTCGATTCATCTTTGACCAAGGAATATTTTAATGGAGAATAGGGAAATGTCAATTGGTAATTTTTAAATTTCATTAATGGAAAAAAATAAAATTTCTTAATAATTGAATTAAAATTCAATTATTTTAGTTTTTAAGCCAAGTGTATGATTAAAATATACTAGAATAATCAAGAAATTTTTACAATTTTCAGCTTCTCTCTTCCACAAGGCCGAAACCTCCATTGTTCAAGGTGAGAAAACTTTGTTTTGATTTTAAAAGCAATTTGAATGATTTTTGGACTAAGTTGTGAAATAGAGAATTATTCTACAAGAAATTCTCTATCAATTGGTACCAATATCTCATGGTAAAGATGCTTGTGTATTGAGATTTAGTGATTAGGGTTTATGTAGGGTTTGATGATTTTAAAGAATTGATTAAAGAGTTTTATGTTTTTAAGGTTGGAGATTAATTCTAAGGCATTTGTGATGATTGAAATTATTTATTTATGCTTGTATGAGGTTCGACCATACCTAGGATTTATGGGGATGACTGGATTATTATTTAATTTGATGTTGTGATGATTGGAAATGCATGAATTTGATCATATGAGGTTGAATTCATGCTTGAAATTGAACAAAAAGTTCTCCCTAGACAGCATGAAGTATTCGGCCATAGTGAAAAATGTTGGGAAAAAGTTATTGAAATATTTCCTATGGTCTAGAATGAATATTAGAAATGTTCCATGTGATTTGGAGGTTGATTTGAATCAATTTGGAAGCTTGAACTAGAAAAAGAGCTAGTTTGCAAGTTATGAGAATTGTGAGACTTAAATGTATTAATGTGCAATTTAAGGTACTTAATGTTGATTTTTAATAAGTATATGCTGGAAATTTTAAGTTGGAAAGTTAATTGGACTCAAATCACAATTTGGTTAAATTGTGATGGTGGAATTCGAAATGTCCCAAAACCTTGGGGACTTGTTTATGATTTTGCAAAAGTGTTGGTACTGTTTTGAACAGGGTATTTCAATGCTGGAAATATTATTAATGTGCTGAATTTTAAGTTTAATCATTGAGTTGGGAGAAAATTACAAATTTATAAAGTTAGGAGTGAAAATAGAAAGTTTAGGAAAGTTTGGGTTGAAATTAGAATGTATTGAATGTTGAAGTATTGATTTGGGTATTTTATTAAATTGCTGGAATTTTAGTAATTAATGTGCAATGATCATAATGGTGAAGACCATTATGAATTA